TTTTTTTTTTTTTTTTCAAAATTGTCTTAGTCTCCATATTCAATATAAAATAAATCCCATTTTATTTGTAAAATTGATAAATCTGCATAAGGCGTAGAATTTTATGCGTACAAAATTTCTTTTTACAGTAACTAAAAAATAATAATAATTTTGAAATCTTATGTACTCAAATTACTTAAAAGAATAATAATAAAAATATTTGCAGTAACTAAAAAATAATAATAATTTTAAAATCTTCTGTACTCAAATTACTTAAAAGAAGAATAATAATAATTTTGATATCTTTTGTACTCAAAAGAATAATAATAATAATTTTAAAATCTTCTATACTCAAATTTTCAGGTAGGATATTATCGTCATAATTTTCAGCATCATGGCAATATTTATTTTATATGTACTAGGTAAATTTTCTTTCAAAACTTTATAATGTACTTATTTAGGCTTATAATATTTTAGATACTTTTATATAATATTTTATCATGTCATATTCAGAAAACATCTTTCATACAAATGTAAACTTTAATGTTTTTAGATATATTTTACGAAAAAATTTAAAAAAGTTTTAGGCGACTTCACATCTTTTAATAATAATAATATAGAAAAGTTTAGATAATTTTACATATGTTAATATAATATTTTAAGAGTTTTTAATTGTTTAAACATACAAATTTTATGTTCTCTTGAACAAGCTAATTTTATATCGTTCATAATAAACTGATATACGGTAAATTATATGACATGTTAACCCCACATCGTTAATTTATAATTATTATTTAATATTGTTTACCCTCATCTTTAATTTATAACTAGTACAACGCTCGTGTATTACACGGGCGCTTGTTAATATTTTTTTTCCTTAAAATTTAAAATTAATGAGAAAAAGTAGGTGAAAATTTAAATACCTTAATAAATATATATATATATATATTAGTAAATATTTAGTATGACACTTTTTATTTGTGTGACTTACTTGTGTTATATTATAATAATTTATTTATTTATATATACAATATGGATGTCAAATCGGAGATCATAAAAAGATGATTAATTTGATATATTATATATGTAAAACCAATAAGAAATACAAAAGTTATCAACTTTTAAAATACATTTTTAATTCAATAGCTAATTGAAGGAAAAAAATCAAAAGTCAAGGATATATTAGTCATTTAGTGTCTCACTATGTAAAATTATAAAGAATTAAAAGGTTATATTAGTACAAGTGATATTAAAATACCTAAGTTAGCTAAATAATATTTATGGAATGTCCGAACCTAAATTATTAATTATTAATATATCAATATTATTTGTCCAAACCTAATTACGAAGCATGATTCTTCGCCAAGTAGGATTTCGAAGCACCGGAAGCAGCCACGTAGGCTCAACGTATTCTGAAATTATATATAAGGGAAAGGATATCTTTCTTGCTCTTTTAAGAGAAGATCAATATTGGTTCTCCACTTCTTTCATTGGTGACTAGAACTCGATACTCATTTATAATTATTATTTAATATTGTTTACACGTGCATCGCACGGGATACGCACTAGTAATATTAATAATAATAATGTAATAATTTTTTCATTAACCGTTTAATAATTAACTCCTTAATAAAATTTGACAGTGAAATAAAAAAAGATGGAAAGTGAAAAAAGCATTTGAAGAATATACAGTTATTAAACTGAAAATCCAAGATGATGACAACAAACAAGTCCAACAGATCGGAGAGTAGGTTTACTCCACACTCTATCCATTTCTCTCCACTTTTCTACCCTAAATCCCACTCTCCACCAAAGGGCCAAAACTAACCCACAAAGTGAACGAAAAAAAAAAAAATCTCGTTCTGCAAAAAATCTGTGGGAAAATGGAGAGGCTAATCTATTCCAATTCGATCCCCTGTAAGCCCCGCCCCAATTCTCCATTTCTCCCCCGGATAACCCGGCCCGATCCGCGCCCGAAACCGACTGCCACATGTACGGCGACGTTTCCTTTCTGGGCCCGGCCCGGATTGCGCCGATTCATCTCGTTCTCCTGCGTTGTGGGTGATACTTCTTTGCTGTCTGCGAAGGCTGTGGACGATTGCCCGGGTGAAAGTTTGCTTTTTTCTGCAGATTCGGGTAATGGGTCGGATCCTAATCCCCATTTTCGCAGCCGGGTCGCTGAGAAGTTCTCTCCACAGCAAAAGGTATGGGTTTCATTGAACTTCTGTTGTTGTGCTGTGCTTGTGATTGTTTGGGTTTAACTTATTTGGTTAGATTTTGGCTTCTGTTGATTGGGTTTTGGAGATCTGTGGGTGGTGATGGGTGTTGACCTTCACAGTGAATGAATCGCTAATCTAATCAAAATGTAAATCAAAACCTGAGAAAAAAAAAAAAGAAAATGTGAAATTTAGCTAATTATCCGAAGATTGTTCATTTTAGCTAAAAGATGAGCTCCTTTAACTGCATTGACTGCTAGCTTGTGTTCTGTGATATATTCATTTGACACTCGATATGCCTCCACTTAATTCGGTTAAAAATAGAATGTTCATATCAATCTTGATCTGTCAGAAATTTCTAAAGATAAGGAATGGTACTGTAAAAGGTGTAATCTTGAATTTCATCAAGTTCGGCGCGAAAAAGATTATCACTTTCTCGAATAATCGATCCTACTCTTTTGTGAGTTGTTGATGTTTCACTCCCCAATAACTACAAATAACATCAAATTATCATTTTCATACTTAATCTCAAAGCAAAACCTTACACGAGAATCAAAACTTACCCTTGCCTAAAAAAAAAATTACGAACTAAAAACACGTTTGCAGGTCATGAATTTAGGGATGACAGTGCTCCTATCGACCCTCTTCCTAACATTCCTCCACCCGATACTCGTCTGGCCCGCACGCGCAAGCCTTGCCGCGAAGCCTGCCTTGCGCAGCGAACTTCTGAGCAGCGCGTGGACGGGCTTCTTTGCGGGCTGCCTCCACACGCTATCGGGCCCAGACCACCTAGCAGCCCTAGCCCCACTCTCGATCGGGCGAACGAGGTTAGAAAGTGCAGCTGTGGGGGCCCTCTGGGGCTGCGGCCATGATGCGGGCCAAGTGCTTTTCGGGCTCGTTTTTCTCCTCCTCAAAGATCGACTCCACATCGAGATCATTCGCACGTGGGGCACACGTGTCGTTGCCTTAACTCTCCTCGTAATTGGTGCCATGGGCATCAAGGAGGCCTCTGAGTCAGCTGAGCCCATTGATCTGGGCCTGGGCCAAGGCCCAGGCCCAGAAGCCGGGAAGAAGAAGATTGGGCTGGCGACATTTGCGACTGGGATTGTTCATGGGCTGCAGCCCGATGCGCTTATGATGGTTCTCCCGGCACTTGCCCTGCCGTCGAGGCTGGCCGGAGCAGCTTTTCTCGTTATGTTTTTAGTCGGGACTGTCATGGCTATGGGGAGCTACACAGTTTTCATAGGGTCGTGTAGCCAAGCGCTTAAAGATAGGGTGCCGAGGATAACCGAGAAGCTCACTTGGGGTTCGTCGATTGTGGCCATTGCCTTAGGGTTTGCGCTTCTGGTTAGCCAGTATTTCGGGTTTAGTTTGTATTAGATTTGAATTCTTTGAACTTTTACGTGATTTTTCGTTTAGCTCCTTCTCGAGGGCAAAAGCTCATATTATTAGAATTTGTATTATGATGTGATGTTTACCATTGAAAGTTAGAGACGATGATACAAACTACTTTGTGTTAGCCTCGAACAGGTTTGGTTTGGTTTGGTTTTTTTTGTTTTCGTCGGCACTTTGTTAAACACGTTTTATCGAGGTGAATCGTTCGAATTAGAAGTATTCTAAAAAGATAGACAGTATTCGAAGAGACAGATAGTATGGTAGAAAAGATTCGTCTATTTACTTATTAAACACGAGTACACATTGTGTTTTTTTGAGATGTTTTATGCTTCTCCAGGCCTGAGAATTGCTTACAAGTTATAAGTTGCGGGTATATATGATGAGCTACCGGTTCGAATGCTTTCTACCGTTGTTCGTTTATCATGCATCGAAGGTCTTAATCTGCCACCATGAATACGACCGATCAAGTTGAATAAGGATTTGACATTATTGAGTTATAAATGAAGAAGAGATTCTGGAAAATTGGATTCACTCACTTCCTGAAAAAATGCATTCTTCAACGCATTGTTGAACAAAATAAGAAAATTATACCTTCTCTCTTGAAAACTAATGTGTGTCTTCAAGACAATGCAGAACATAAATGTTAACTTACATTAAGTTACTTCATTGCGCTTCCAATAAAGATTGCATTGAAAAAAGAAAGAAAGAAAGAAAGAAAGAAAGAAAAATTTGACCCTATCAACGAGAGAAGACTGTCCACATTAGAGTTTAAACCGTCAGATCAGTACAGATGGTCACAGATTAAAAAGAGTTTGAACCGTCAGATCAATATAGATGACTAAGTATCAAAAATAGAGTTTGAACTGTCAGTCAAATCAATACAGATGACTACAAATCAAAAGTAGTGTTGACTTTGTGTAAATGAGTCGAGCTCAAGTTGCTGATATTTTAACTCGAGTCTTTATTAAGCGAGCTCAATTCATCAACTAAGCATGCAAAAAAAAAAGATTGAGCTCGACTCATTCATCAATATAACTATTAATGAGTCGAGCCGAACTCAAGACTTATTTATCTACCAGCTCCTTAGTAAATCACAATAAATATGTTCAACAAAAGGATAAAGAAAGAAAAAAATATAATTGTCCTATCAGTTTTGACGCTCCAAAAATATAAGAAAGGCCAAAAATCTGTTAAAAGATACAGCCTGGAATTGGGCCCAATGTCTACTTCACAACTCGGCCCTTTTTTTGTGTTGTTATATTCGAGTCTACAAACCCAACGTTTAGTCCAAATATGTTTTGCCAAAATTAGTTACTTCTAAAAGTAGCCCAATAGCTTTTTCCCATCTCAATCAAACACCACCAACTATCACGGATGTGCAATTTTCCACGTCATTACCACAAATTGCAATAAATCAAAGGCAACTCTTTTTTTTTTATTATTTTATTTTTTTTCATATTTTCTTTAAAGGATAAATTAAATTAAGCATTGTTTTTTTTTTCTTATGTTGAAAAATTATTTAAGAAATCATAATAAGTACATTAGTTATGTTATAATACAAAGTCCCACGTGCGTGAATGCACTAAAGGACGTGGACTATAATGCCACATACAAAATGGGTTTGCAAGTCATTGAGGCGTAAACGACTCGGGATTGATACTTTAGTACTCGAGTTTGGGTTATTAGTGAGTTAAATCGAGTTCGGCTCGTTAACTAATCGAATCTGAACTCGGTTCATTTACCTCAACAAGTCGAGTTAAAGTAAAAATTTAGAAAACTATGTAAAGCTCACATTTCATAAGCCTTAATGAGCGAGTCGAGTTTGACTCTTCAAATAAACGAGCTTGTACTCGATCTCACATAACTCAAGCATGTTAATATTGGTAAAGCAGCAGGTGGGTGATAACTTGTGAACACATAAAGTTTGGTCAAAAGAATAAGTGTACTATTTATTGGGTGCAATAAACTCCACGTCAAGTAACATTAAAGTACCAAAAAAAAAGTACAATAATTTCAATCGTTTTGAGTTCCAAATAATTAAGTAGATGTCTAATTAAATGATTTGGCTTGAACAAAAATCCATATTTCGAGAGAAAAAAGTAGGAAAAACGTGACTTTGTTTTTTGCTTAATCCACGTAAAAAAATAAAAAATAAAAAAAGATCATAGGTTATCCAAATCCTACAATCAAAGTGAATGGAGACCTTAGATTTTAATAAATTTGAATTAAAAATGTGATACGTTAAAAAACATAAACACAAAAAAATAAACATTTTATTAATAATCAATTCATGTGGTCGATCCTACTAAAATTATTCTTAGTAGAATTTTTAGGTGAGACGGTCTACCTGTTACGTTGGTCGATTTGTCATACTTATATACTTAAGATATGGAATATGTCATATTTAGATATATTTTATTTTTTGGATTATTACATTTTATTTTTAAGCAGTCTGACTATTACGCGAGTCGATCTGTCATACTTATATCACGAAGTGCATATTTAAAATATGGAATATCATATTTAAAATATCATATCTATTTATATTATTTTTTAAAATATGATATTTCAATTTAAAATTATGCATATAAGTCGAATAAGTATGATTCTATAACTGCTCCACCTGCCTAATATAGCTTTGAAAAATGCTACGGTACCGTTACGATGTTATTCAGTTGAGGTTTGTAACCGTTAGATCAACTATACCCGGTAGTTACATGAACCTAACAATTACAAATCTGACGGAATGGTTCCGTAACAAGACTGATTTTTCTATAGCTTTACCCAATTATTTTAATTCTCAGCAAGAAACCCTCATGTTTTTCCCGGCCACCTTAACCTAATGTTGAATTTAATTATGCTAATAAAAGGAAAAAAAATAAATAAAAACCTTCCAACTTACAACTACACTAATATGTAATTTTTATTATTATTTTTTTAGAGGATAAAAAAACTTTCATCTCCTATAACATAAACTAAAAAATAAAATAAAATTGTTTATTTTTAAATTAATGCCTCTATGCTACCTTTCTTCACCATTCTACAAACAGGGCAGTTATCCAGAAACACCTCACACTCCACGCACGAGCACACGTGCCTACACGGCAGTATCACCACGCGCGACCCTCTCAAACCGCATGCCCTGCAAATCCCCAACCCCGCCGCGTCCCCGCCGCGCTCCTCCGACTTATTTTCCCCGTCGTGGCAGCACGACGCCGCATCCTCG